GATAGCGACATTGACGTATACTGATCGCGACAGCGGGCTTCGCGAAAAGCGCACGGCCGAGGCGCATCTTCCATTTCACGAGATTACCTCATCCTCTGCTTTACACGGTAAAGCGAGGCGAAGCGAAGTTTTAAGCCAAGTTTCCTGAGCGGAGAACGGTGTAAGCCACGACGTTCTATATCGGCATATACGGCCCGTAGTGTCGCATGTCGTCTTACTTTACGTGATGTAAGTTTCGTCCATAAAAATACCTACCTCCTTGAACGCGAGGGAAAAAACTTCTTTACAAGTTCGGAGAGGAAAATGTACGTACTTGTTTCCAACCGCGCGCGGTATCAGGCCCCCCCCCCCCCTAATGACGAGGAACAGGCTCTTTATGGAAAATCGAGGATAATGCCCGATGAAGCCGACTTTAAATACCCGCGACGAACAATACGTATCACTAACATTTACGGGCAACAAAGGTATAGAATTAACAGTAGCCAGGTTGTCCACGAGGTACACAATAGGAGCCTGTGAAACAATACTGTACCCCTCCCGCGTCTGATATATCTCCGCAACCCCTTGCAGGGGATGAATAGTCTCTTCCAGGCGGCTAAAGCAGGAAAGATGGCATGAAACGGACGCCTTTTATGTTACAGACATTCAGACACGGCTTCCCGCATCAGCCGACAGCGTTGGCATTCGACCCAGTTCAAAGGCTCCTAGCTATTGGCACTAAATCAGGATCCCTCAGGATGTATCCTTCGACATTATCGTTAATACGGTGGCAATTAAGCGTCCCTTTTTCTGACGGCAGAAATATACGCGCCGCGAAAAAAAAAAAAAAAAAAACGCGAAGAAGTCGGTTAATACCACATCTAACATAATATAATTTTCGCTTTTTTTTTTCTCGCTCTTTCTTTTCTCGCTCTTTCTCTTTTTGCCGATTTTCTTTTTCTGCGGTTATACGTTTGCCGCTGCGCGGCGTCGAGTAACTGTCGAATTTTTTCTCGACCTCTCGCGTTTCGCCAGTTAACGTACTCGCTATTACGTCCCGTAATTTCGTTCTCACAGAGATCATTGTAAAACAACGCTCGCCGAGAATATTGCACTGGCGGAAGTAAAAACTGTACTCGTCACTCGCTTTTGTGTGCCCGCCTTAAAAAAATTTCGGGTGTCAACGGGTTTGTACAATTTTAGCGGATTAATTACACGGTCCTGTCGGTCCGTGGCTCTTCGACCGTGTGTCTTTACACGTCAGTGATTTCATTGATCTATCGCGGCCAAAGTGTGGTAATAGATGCTCATCGCAGTTCGGTGGGCATACTAACTATCGCGATGAACTATAAACGAAAGAGTCAGTTTCAGTCAGCGCTGTCAATTTCGATATAAGTGAAATCTTTCGCGTATTTAAATATAAAAGAGCTTTGCCTTTCTCTGAACGCGGAACGCGGAAGTTATTGAATCCGCGAAAATATTAAAACGTTAATTTTTCTGTTTTTACCGCTATTTTACGCGGGCTTTTAATAAATTGTTGCACGAAAGAACAGAGGACTTTTTATGTCATAAATATGCAGAATTATTATAAGGCGCGAATTATTAATTCGCTTGCTTTTATGTGGCTCGCAATCTCTCTCGATACAGATTTTATATTTTTCTGAATTAATCCAACAACGCGGAAAAAAAAATACAGTTTGGGTAGACCGGGCGTGGACGCACACGTTAAACACGAGGGAGGTGCGACTGTACTGCAATTGCAATTTCTGATCAACGAAGGAGCGTTGGTGTCCGCCACGAACGACGACACCTTGCATTTATGGAACTTCCGTCAGAAGATACCGCAGGTGGTACATAGTCTCAAGTTTCAGAAAGACAGGTCAGTCATTAGCACGCAACGGGATACCGTTTACTCTCCCTAATTTTAAGCTTGAACTTCGTCTTTTGCGATACGTACGATTCGTGCATACAAAGCACGCCTATACGGATGTAAAGTTTTTAATCATACGTTACACGAGTGGAATGTGAGATATACATGTGAGATTTCACATTCGCAAACTACTTGAACCGCTTGAACTTTTCAGCAGCGAATGTTAATGGAAACAATATAATATTCGTTTTTAACAGAATCACTTGCATTCATTTACCGCTACAAAGTAAATGGTTGTACATCGGGACCGAGCGAGGAAACATTCACGTACTGCACATTGAAACGTTCGTTTTATCCGGATATGTAATTAATTGGAACAAGGCCATCGAAGTGTAAGTATATGCATATTTTTTTTTTTTTTCTTAGACATTTGATAATCTAAATAAGTGAAACGGCGCGTTTTATCGATGCATCTGCACAAACGATATGATTAAAACAAAATATACAGTATATATTATGTCGATAAAAGCATGCGGAGCGTAACAAATTCTAATGCCGGTCTACATCTACAATTTCTAATTCCATTAATTACGAACGTACAAACACTTTCGTGTTGCATTAAGGTAAGTATTCCGAAATGAACTGCCACTTAACATGATTGATTTCAGCGATAGAATCTCCAGTATAAAGGGCAATAGTACGATGCGAATCTTCACTAAATTTGTAGCGCTTGATTAATTAGGCATTGTTTTAATGAAATTTTCTGAAAGCAACGGAAAGCAGAGACTTGCTATAGAAATAGCAATATAGCGTACGATAAAAAAAAAATTATTAAGGAAAGTTTTAAGATATTGGCAAGTTAAGTTTGTATCACAGAAAGTATATCGGATATGTGTTTGCAGATATTTCTTTTAATTTGAAATGTTTCCAAGCCATTGTAATTTCTTACTGTCGTTTTATTACAGATTAATCGACGTAAAATACGCGTCTCATGATCTGAAATTTATTATCCTCATAAATCTGTACAATAACGTTAAGTAAGTAATTATAGTGGCTTAGAGAATATTATGAATTAAGAGGAGTATATGTTAGCTATTTGTGTAATCCTTACAAAACGTTTACATAACAAGTTAGCTCTTGCTGTGTCTCGAGAGAGATTTTTCTTAAAAACATTTTTCAAAAAGATGAGTGAATAATATATTTTCAGATCCCGTTTTCATTAATTCCTATAAAGGATGTGTCGTTCAAGATTGTGTTTTAAATGTGTGAATGTATGGGTCAATTAAATTTTGATGGACGGATAACGTTCGTGGAGATTATCCCCAATGAAAGCTCTATTAGTATTATATATCTATATTTTGTTGAAACTGAAAGGAACAGACGTCAGAGACCTGTAGTTCTTTATTGTGCCTGATCGTAGACAGATAGATGTGAATGTGGCAGTGATGGTATAAGGGTGCTCATTATAAGTGTACCACCATTGGGATTTAATATTTCCACAGAAATTAAATTACAGATGATTGATTAAATAATCAGTCGTTAAAATCCAGTTCGAAATTGTCTGACAGTCAAAATAATGATCTATTTGTGTCAGCATGAATACATTTCCCTATCGGGGAAATATTCCCTTGCGTCACGGAATATTAATTTGATTAGTAAATAAATCATAACGAAAGTGACTGTACCTCAGATGTTAATGAATAATTAGTTACGAATAATTCCCAATAGCGAGACACTTAAAGTAACTTATGTAAGCGAATCCTATGATCTTCCTTCTACTTTCCGAAAATTCATTATTACCGACAAAGCCTATTAATATTTCTATATTTGATTTATTCGGCATTGATACGCTACGAAATCTTTGACTGTTTATTATAACTATTTAGGAATGCTTTATCATTTATTTTTTCTGTACTAACTAATCACAATTTTCTTCTCGTGTGTGTTTCACGAAAATATAATATAATGCCAATTAATATATAAAGATATTAACGGCACATTGAATAAGCTGAAATACAATGATGATAGAACTACAATGGAATACAGCGGTTAAAGTCTGCACACGAGTTTTATATATGTTTCACAATAACACAAAAATAATGGTTCTCTTATACATGTGTGTGTATATACATATATATATTTTTCAGATCTAGAAAGACTCACCCTGGTGCTGTAGTACACTTGAGTGATAATCCTTTAGATTTGAGCAAGGTACGCGCGTTTTTGAGTTACGTTTTTTTTTTTTGCATTATTATTCCATCCTTATCATAATTTCATGATTGACATTATTCAATTTTATCGTGACGCGTAAAAGAGAGAGAAGAAAAAAGATATTTGCGCGTTTATTTAATATTTTTTTCTTACAAACTTGGATTATTTATTTAAATCCAAGCTAATAAATGCAAGTGTGTGCTTGCATGTTGTATGTGTGCATGCGTGCATGCTGTCACTGTTGTGTATACAAAACAACGAAAGAGAATCAGAAACGCCTATTTCATTAAGAGAAGAAAAAGACGAGGAGAAAGTCCATTATTTGAACTTCTGAAATGAATTTAGATTGGTTTTCTAAATCGATGAAAAATCATATCGCGATCATGATCACTCATCTTTTTACACATTTTATATGAATTCATTGTTAGTACAACTTCTGACAACGGAGTTTCTGTTACGGACCTTATGCAAATATATCCTCTATTTACCTATTAATTGTGCAGTCATGAGTGTGTGATGAGTGTTTGTGTGTACGGGTTGCGTTTGCAACTCTCTGTGTTTTTGATATTGATATTGTAAATTTGATTATACATACACATATTTACATATATGTATGTATTTCGTATAAATATTATATGCTATTTTAGTTTTCTTGATTATATAAGAAAACAACATTTTATTTCTCGGAGAGATGTTGTCTATTATTATAAAAAAATATTTTTAAATTATTCGTATAGAATAAATGGATTATTAAAGATGTGCTCAACAAATCTCTTTGATTTTAATTTATCTTTGTTAGTTGTATCTTGTATTTTTCCGTCTCTAACATATCGTAGCAAAATGTTGTTTTTAGATAGTGATTACACTAAACAAAAAATACTGTTGAAGATTGAGATTATAAAACTGACGGTTTTTAATATGAAACATTTAAATAAAAATTTAAATAATTGCAAAAATTAAAAAATTAATACTTCTTTAGTGAAAAGTATATTAGTTTCATATTTAATTAAAATTGCATCAAGTTATTACATTTTGTATATTATGCATAAATTCTTTCGATCATGTAATGTGTGTATAAGACAATTTGCTGAAATAATCTTCAATTACGAAAAAAATCTTCGTTCGTCTCATTTCACTTTTCTGTAATAAATCGATAAATCAATATCATATCGCAATCATCGTATTTCTGAGTTTTTATCCGTGCCCTTCGCACAAATTTTGTAGCAACCATTGTTCATTACATTTTTATATCTGACCTCTTTATGTATATGCTAAATGTATTGTCATGATAACAGAATCGAGACATTGTAAAAGAATACATTTTGTCACTTATATATATATATCCATGTGTCTTGTTTCAAGGAAATATATTTTAACAATGATATGCACACTTCCCTTATATGCGTGAATGCTTTGTTTTCAGATGCTTATAGGATATTCGACAGGACAAATTGTTTTGTGGGATTTAAAAACCAAGATTGCTGACTATAGATGTCAAACGGATGAGCCATTAACATCGATAACATGGCATCATGAAGGTAAACAATTTATGTGCAGTCATTCGGATGGTTCTCTTTCGACTTGGACTGTTCGGCAATTAAAGCCAGCAAGTGTAACATATCCACATGGTGAGATTTGATTGATGTATCTATTTATTTATTCGGTCGTGTAATATATAAAATTTTTATATTGATATCCCTTTTATAGCAAAATTCACCAAAGATGGAGAACCCGAACGTTGCAAATCTATTCAGAAAGTAGAATGGAAATTATCGAGATCAGGGTAAAATGATACGAAATATTTTTCGTTTATCAAAGAATAGTTTTGCTAACAATAAGTACAACTATTCGTTAATCTTAAGTGATTTACGAGTTAACGTAAACTTTTAGGGAAGCATACGTGATATTTTCTGGTGGATTGGCACAAGATACCACTGGGAGGACACCCAGCATTACAGTGATACATGGAAAAACTACTACGGTGCTCGAAATGGAACATAATGTTATAGACTTTATAGTGCTATGTGATAGTCCATGGGCTAGTGGTACAGTACAAAATATTACTCTTTTTTTTATGACTACTAGTTGTGATCTCTACAGACTGCGATACAAATATTTCTTGATATACATATATATCGTCAATATATAATTATTTGTATATTATAATTATTTTTATAATTATTTGAAAGTAATTGATAGTAATTATTGCTATTATCATTTTTCAGATTTTCAAGATCCTTACGCTGTTGTTGTTCTACTACAAAACGATCTGGTTGTGATAGATTTGTTAACTATTGGATTCCCTTGTTTTGAGAATCCATATCCTATGGATATTCACGAATCTCCTGTGACGTGTTGTGCATATTTCGCGGATTGTCCTTCGGATCTAGTACCTGCATTTTATTCCGTTGGATCCAAGTCACAGAAGAAAACTGGTTTTAGCGAGAAAGAATGGCCTATTTCCGGTGGCGAATGGAGTTCCAGTTCTAGCAGTTATAATGAGATTATTCTCACTGGGTAATGTATATTGCTATAGATACAATTTCATATCGATAAATAATGAATCTGTCTTTTTTATCGCACGTGTATGATGACACGTCTTAGTTCTGTTAAAATGTATGCATGTCCGTATTGTATATGTCATCATACACATACATGTTACTGTCTATCATAAGTTAGACGATAATCAATAAGTTCCTTAAATTTCTATAGTTATATGTATGTTGTTCGCAGACATGCTGATGGCAGTATAAAGTTTTGGGACGCTTCAGCAGGAACATTACAAGTCCTTTATAAACTAAAGACGGCAAAACTTTTCGAAAAAACTAAAACGCGTAGTATAGATTCTGAGGAAGATCCGTTAGCGATTCAACTTATCTTCCTTTGTCCTGAAAGTCGGAAATTAGCTATTGCAGGAAGCGGCAAGCACGTCGTATTGTTCAAATTTAAGAAAGTTGAGAGTATGTCTGAAGTAGTGGTGAGTTATCTGTTTGATTACTAATGCACTATTTTTTCAGTTACTATCTATTAGCAAACCTAAAACGAATAAAATGAGACGTAATATATTCTTTTCTTATCTAAATATTAAACTACTTCGGTAAATCTTATTTCCATAATAGTGTTTTGTCCATGCTGTATTCATGATTTTTACAGGAAAAAAATAAAGATGGATTTTTCTGATATTACAGACTTTGGAAATATGCTTATCAGTGGATCCAGGAAGAGAAGGGGACAACTCACCGGATCGTGAATCTCCGGCTAACGTGGGAAATGTGGAATCAAAGATTACAGAATTCAATCATCCACTCAAAGTCAAGACAGGTCTGCAGAAAAGGACAGCCGGTTTTCAAGCAACATTGATTTGTTTGACAACGGCACCTCCCGGAGAACAACCCGAAAATATAACGTCCCTTAGCTTAAATTCTTCATATGGCCTGTAAGTATGATTTATAAAATTGCCAATTATTACATAGATGAAAACTTTATAAGTTGACATTATTGTGCGCATAAATTTGATAAATTTTCAAAATAAATTTTATAAATTTTCAAAAATGTCATTGCATATTATAGGTAGAGAAAGTACAATACATACATATAGAATGTTTTAATGTTTAGATTGGCCTATGGAAACGAGTCGGGATTAGTGATAGTGGACATCGTTCAGAAGATCTCTTTAATCGTATTAAATACTAGTGATCTTGGAGGTGGATCCGATCCTTATCAACGCGTCTTACGAAGTCCCAAACGGCAGGACGAATTAAAACGAGAAACTGAAGACAAGGCAAGAAGTCCAAGTACAGACCAGGTAAAATATATTTCTTTTTCTATCTATATGAACTATGTATATTTTGAATTCCGACCCAGTCCTTACCCATAATTTTATCTAGCAAGTCCGCCTAGAGTTTTTGCATTCCGCTTTCTTAAAGCTGCCAACATTATTTTTTATTGCATGATTGCAAATTGTCTATATAAGTTAATTACTACAAGTATAAGAAAAGATTACATTTACAAGAAACAATATTGCAAAATAAGGTTTCATGATTTAATAAAATATTTTCTTATCAGTTCTGTAAATATAAATTATGTACATTGCTTTGAAACACACTATGTTTTGGGAAAATAATTCACATATAATATGCGCACATGCGTAACAACTATAAATTTTCTTATTAAGTTTACTAATCTAATTTTGCCTGAGAAATCTTCCCGTATTTTGATTCTTCATTATATCTTGAAATTTTTCCTGCAATTTTATGCATTGTAGCATATTTTACTGAAAGACATTTCTTAACGTTTTTAAAAATATTTTTGAAATATATATAAAGCAAAGTAAATATTGGCAACAGAAAGGTAAAGTATTCATTCTCTCTCGTATTCGCAATAAAGTATTTTTTAATCAAAGATAATTATAATAAAAAATATTTTAATTAAAATTTAAAATTTAAGATATGTTAACAAATTTTAATAGAGATAATAGTAATTGTTTAATAAGTAGTTAGAAATTGTTTTTAAATGATTAGAAAATATGATAATAAATGTATTCATCGAACTTCAATAACGCTAAGTCGCTATCAACAGCCGCTTATAAATGTGATTTTAAGACATATTATTAGATCGAATAGTTCTTAGTATATATTAATTTTTATATTTTAGTTATCATTTAATCTTTCAATTATTAATTTTTATTGCTAAACTCATAATTAACATTTCTTTCAATACTAACATTTCTTTTAGAAATATGTTAGATATAAATTATTTGTATTTAAATTTGAATAAAAGATAAAAAGATATGATTTTTTTGCACACTGTACGATACTTGAACTTTATTTAAACTATAATTATATATAGAGTATTAAATATTTATCATATTATATATTCGCATAAAACTTTTTTATAAATGAGGTATTCTCTCATATATCGCAAAAAATTATATGCAAAATTTCTTTCTTTAATTTTATTATTTTTTGAAAACCTTAATATATAGACACAGATAAATTTATGAGAAAAATATTTGAGAAATTCCCACATTGCTTAGCAAATTTTTCTTCAGATAATATTAGTAATACAGAAAGAAAACAGACAATTCCATCATTCCGAATATATCTAATAAAATTCGAGCAGTTGTACCTTAGAGGGAATAATTATTTCTTTCAATGTATTTTAACATTTCTTTAGCAGATATCTTAAACAACGTAATTTTCTGATTTGTAGAGTTAAATGAAAACATATTTGAAGCAATCCATTATAAGCAATTTTAAAGAATTTATAAAAAAAGATTTTATATCGGCAACTATTGGTCAAACTTGTCATTTTCCATGTGGCAAAAATTTTCTTTATAAATTAACCAACAAAATAACAAATTTATCTAACCATGTGATTTTTTTCTTATTTTTTTTTTACATTATTATTATCACCAGATGTTAAAGATATTTTAGAAAATGTATATTACATATATATGTATATAAATGTATATTAAGTATGTAAGATATTGACTACTGAGTATTAGTATCTTATTACAAATTATTACAAAAGAAAGTTTGTTATTTTAATTAAAAAACGGCTGTGATAGATGTATAATAAATGTTACATTTTTTTTCGTGCGAATTTTATATAAAAAAAATTTTCCGTTGTACTCATATATATTTTGCATTTAATGTTTAGCTAACTATGTGTCTACCATTGAAGCAAGTAAGATCATATATATTTTTGTTGAAAAATTATTATATTTTTTTTTATTGTACAATGTTGCTCTGTTAAGAATATTGGATTTATTTATATTATTGTATTATTTGAGTAGATAGTAATTGATAATATGACACATTCGGTTTCTATTGTTAAATCTGTAATTAGATTAAAATATTATTGAAATGCTGAATGTAGTAACTGAGTACAGATGGATAATTGAAAAAGTAGACATAATATAGAAAAACAATACTAGAAACATTAGTTGCTTAGTATGTAATAAAAACAACAATAGTTATTACATTAATATTTAAAAGGATCTGTGCATATGCATAGATTTGAAAAATGTAAATGCACAGTATTTAATAGCAATTAAGATAATAAAAAGAATATAAATGTTATTAACAATATTGACATTAATTTATAATTAATTTGCCTCGAAAAATTAAATATTTGTAAAAAAATGAATGTAACATATTTGTACGTACATTACATTATTTATAAAAATTTACAAGAATATTCGTAAATTTTTTATCGTAATTTAATAAAAATTATTATTAATATAACACAGTAATGCATGAGAGATATAAATATGCAATATAAATCTTATATGAGGCATTTGCAGTACTCGCATAAATTTACGTATTTATTTTATGTATGATATAGTGTAGGACAGAAAATAGTTAGGTACGTTGAAATGTCATTAACATGAAACATTATTTATCAAGTAGAAAAGTGAGAGTTTGAGAAATTAAAATATTAAAAGAATTTAAAGCGGAAATCTCGTATTGAATGATGTTTTTAGATGAATGTCTTTTTTATATACATGATTTAATTCGTTGTAGTTAATGTTTATTAACTGTGACTAACTGTTTTGTTGTAATTTAGTAACAGAATTTAAAAATATTTGTGTTATTTATTTTAATATTGGTGATGTAGCACGGTGTTAGAAATCAGAGATTTATCTCGCTGTACGTATTATGAAACAAATATTCTTATAAAAAAATATTTTTAATGTACAATAATTTACTAGCTACTATAAATTTTGCTAATTCTTAGCAAAATATGTTTATGTAATAATAATTATAACATGTTTCAGCTACGTATGTACATCACATCAGTAAATGTCAGCATTGCTCAATTATTGATGAAATATCTAGCAGGTGATTAAAGACGTATCGATACACAAATGTTACAAGTAAAATAGAATATTTCATAATGTTTTCGTATAATTAGATAATAATAAGACAATTTAATTGAAAGTTCTTAAGTATTGAAGGTATTTTAGAAGCTTTGTCGTTTAATATTCCATGTAATCATTTTAATAGGAAATTAAATTAATTGACAATAAGTAAACAACATTTTTATCGAATGCTCAAATTGGATCAGATTAAATCATTATTTCGTTTCATAATTCAAAATTCTATGAATATTACAAAAAAATTATATTCCCGTCTTAGTTGTGAAAGTAATAATTTTATTGAATCGTACAAAAATTTAAAATACCCAATTTCTATCCATTAAATAATTAGATAGACATGTAACATTTTTGTATGTGCTTGTCCCACCTTTATCTGCGCCTAGTACTGTTATCTTACTGATGTAATACATACATTATATGCCACATTGTTTAAGATCATCTCTAACTTTTCATGTGCGCTTAAAACAAATTAAGTGAGGATTATTATCGAACAAATGGTACAACTGTTCGCAGAGCTATTTCATGAAGCCAGTATCCAGTTATCTTCCAGCAATACTTATATTCGTATACTCGCATGCTTAGTATATATATAAGTGTTACCGTATACTATTAACGTAAAGTAATTTTATTGATTTTCTTTTTGCTTATTTTCACAAACATGTAGAGATAAGACTTGTAACTTGATCATTGCACAGATACGAGATGTGTATGTTAACTTGACTATGTATAAACTAATTTTGCCATACATTTTTTCATAAATTACCTTTCCAGAGATTCAGTAATATCGTCGAGAGTCAATACTTGCCATTTCATGCTGTTCTTTTATCGAGAAAAATTATAGACATCCTCAGTAAAGATTATTAATAACTCACGTATGCATAAAGGTGCCAGTACAATTAACCGTATGCTTTTCGTTTATGAATCATATCAAACGTAGTAACAATGTACGATAGTTTTGTATACCTATAATATATATTCACAATAACTTTAATCAGTTGGTTATGATCATTCGTTATTCAGAATTAATGAATTCAATTCTCGGGAACGATTCAACAGCGGGGAGAAACATTGCGATTCTGAGATGTACTCTGCATATTTTTCGAAAGTTTATTTAGCGTTACGAATAAAGTGTTTAAAAAAAGGATGAACTACAAATCCGACACAATTCTCATTTAACAATACATTACAGTATTTCATTGACTAGCGATATCGAAGGCCTACGTCTCTACGAGCATCTTAGGCATTTATTCCTAACAGGCAGACAGATTTAAAAAGAATCTCTAATCATTGTCTGCACTCTTCGATTCGAGATTTTCACGAGCCTGGGAAGTGACAAGTGACCATACGTTTGCGATAGCTTTCAGTTGTTGAATTTGACATTGTGCTTCTCTTCTTAGAAAGCATGTTTCCACTTCACGCGTTTTTACAGACACGGCAGATCGTACGGCAGCACGATAATTAAGGGATTAGTCTACACCACTGTGTTAGTGGACACCTACGGAACACGTGCGCGAAAATTGCATAAAGAAATTGTTATTTAAGATACATCCGTTTTTTAGAGTTAGGTCCAATGTATATGTACAATTCCCTTTTGTCTACAAACTGATTGATTGTGCAAAGTCCAACGTCTTAAATCCATCAGAGTCAGCGAGAATCCGCGACGGAATCCGAGCCAGTAGTTGCAAGGATAACGGATTCGGCTCAACAAGTACAGCAACAGCAACAGTGTCCTCGCAATGAGAGTCAGACCGGAAACAGTAGCGATAAACCGGGCGCAGAGGAAACCACGAACGAATCCAATAAAGCGGGTAACGTTCCTAACGGCGACGAGTGTCAGAAAAGTCAAGGCTGGAAGGGATTTAGTCTCAAGAGACAACTGAGCAAGGTTGATCTGAAGATTAAAAATACTTTTACACCGTCCTCGGTGTCTTCTCAGAACGGGGTACTTGTATGCTTTTTTTTTTAATACGTGCTTTACTTATCGTTTTTTTTCTTTTTTTTTTTTTTTTCTAATAATTATCAATAATTTTTAGTTTTTTATTTCCTACTTGCTACTTGGTTTACAGTTACGCAGAATATTTGAAAACATTTTAGCGTTAGCTTACAATGCGGCTCATTGCGTTCTCATATTCTTTGCGTTATTTATAGTACGCGTTTATTTTTGATGAGTGCGACACGGCGTAAAGACAATGTCTCTTTTCAATCTGACTTGTAAATATACGAAGGAAGTAACTGAAACTTTATATTTTATTTTATACAGATTTAAGCACACTTAAGTGTAAAGAACTTTTGCGGAGGGATTCTTGAGCGTTTATTTCGAAAAAAATTCCTCTTCGTATCAATAACAGTTATATTCTTCCTTTTTTTTATGTAAATTTAATCTCGTTTTACAATGTGCATATTTATGTTTCCGAAAGAGCTCGTCGTCGGGGCTCATGCAAGTACCCCAATGCCAGCAGATAGGCAGCGAGACTGGCAGTCAAAAGTCTTCCACGTTTTACTGCAATATCAACGAAGCGGCCAGCACGAGTCGTTCGCTATCACCGGTCGAAAGTGTTGACTCTCAGTCCTCATTGTCGCCGGAGAGTCAATCCCCGGGACACGAGAGTCCCCAGACCGATGACAGGAAGCAAGAGATCCCAGCAGAGGCTAGAGGCCCGACAGAAAATGAGAGTGAAAAAACGATAACGAGCAATGACAATATCGGTGCAAAAACCGAGGCGGTAAGACCGATGAATCTGCCTTTGCCAGAGCACGAGTTAAAACCGCCAAGGCTGAAATATATCGCCAAGATCAAACAAGCAAAGAGAGAGGGCCGCTTGCTCTCGGTGCCGAATTTGAAATTTTCCAAGAACGAGACGACCGTTTGTGACCTAAGATGCGAGGAGAGTGCTACCTCCGAATCATTCACCCACAATCTTATAAGAAGATTCAGTAAGTGTTTATACATTTAACGTAGAAGAGCGTTATGTGTCCTCGTCCGTGTGTCCTTAGAGATATATTACTTCGTTAGATTTTTCACGTTAAATGTGAATGTGTGCGTGTAATTAACATTCTTACTAACGATCGAAATCTTCCTCGATCGGGAAGCGTGCGATTAACAATGAAATTGCATTTGTATCTGTGATTGAGAACATGTGGTGGGTGTAGACTAACCATAGAGAGAGCTCGGCTGGCCCTGGACGTGCTTCTGCCTCTTTTTTTTTTAACACTAAAGCCTAGGATGCTCTTAGATGCGTTCAAATTATTTCCAGAGGAAACGTTAACACAACTCATTATTAATTGCATCTTTGCCAAAATTGGGTAAATTATCGTAACGAATTTTTAAGTAAGTCTGAAATGTACCATTCAAGTGCCGATATCTTTGCACGTTTTAAGCTTTACATATATGCATATTAATTTAATTACAGCAGAATAGAATAGATATATTTTATTATTCTTTCTCTTTTTTCTAAAATTTTAAGTAGAGAAAAATTTTTTTTATCATTAACTTGTATATTTGTATAATATTAAATGTCTGTAGATTTTTCTAATTTTTAATTGTAGAAATAATAGGTAGATTTATTTAGATTATATTTAAGTAATTTGTTAAGAAAAAAATAATTTTTGTTATTACCCAATATTGGCTCTCATTACAACATGTCATCATCAAAGGTTTATGTGAAATAGTTAATATCTAGGTAAATCTGTCAATATGCGTAACAAACAATGATAAACTTCTAACATATATATATACATATATATATATATATTTTATATATATATATATATATATATATATATATATATATACTCGTACAAGAAAATCCTTGCACTAAAATCCTTGCTCTCGAAAATTCGAAATATAGATTTGTTTTACATGAATATTAAATATTAAAAAATAACTTTCAAGTTGTTTACATTTGGTATTCTATTTATATCGATCACATAAATCTAATATGCTCGCATATACATGAAATTAAATAAGATAGTTCGCAAATTTCCATAGTTATTCGTTATTAGAACTCTTTACTTATTGCATGTTCAATACAGTGCATATTGATGAAATAGCAAGGCAATTATAATGGAATTTAAATATCGTTGATACACATTCCTATTTCGTTAAACGAAAGAAAATGATTGACGGTAGCGATTCATTTTGTGTTTATCGTATATTTAAAAAGCATGTGTTGCATATAGTTTAATACCATGCAGTGTGAAAATGATGACTTATACAAAATTACTATATGCACATTTATTTATTTATCTCAATTTAAATATATTTTATATATATTTTGATTATTTACAACTAAATATTGATAGAAAAAAAGGATGACAATTGACAATTATAGCATTTATAAGTTTTGTATAAAACTTGATAGCAAAGTTTTGTATAAAAACTTGATAGCAAAAACATCGTAGTTGTCATCGATCGTGAGATTAAAACTCAAAATAGAATTGGTTAGTAGATAGTTTTACATAATGCAAATATTTTATAGTTATGTGGAATAAGAGACCGCCGTGAAATTTATATCACGCAAAATGTAGAGTCTAATATAATGGTCAGTCAATAAATTCATTGATACATCATGATTAGGCACGCTTGAAGTGTGTCGACGTTTCTTCGATTATGAAGAAAAGGCCTTATGATTTATAGAAGAGTGCAGACAATTCCCTGCTAGAGGACAATACAACGCGCGATCTATGTTGAAAATGATAATTCTTTAAAATGCATTCCTGATTTTGATCAGTGGGTGCTTGTTATATTGTGAGAAAAAAGTTACAAAGACTCCACAAAGTCTATCGCTTAACTTATTGTTTAATATGGACACGGTGTTAATTAGCGCAATATTGCAAATTCTATTCTACTAATTCTATACTACTGAAGGGCAGAACTACAAATTTATTGGAGTAGGTTGTGATGAATTATGCCCAAGATGCGTGAATAAAGTTTCTCGGGCGTAAATACATATCTATATTATTGTATGTTAAATTTATATTTGTAAAAAAATGTGGTGTATGATTCTGATATACTATTTTCAGAAGAATACATTTTAAAGGATGTCAACGCTTCAGTCATTGCATCGACTGCCCTTTCTTAAAGCCATTATCCTGCCGATCTTAGTGTGTAATTTATCCGCTCTGATGGTCGATAGGTCGATAGGTTGAGAAAAAATACCGTACATTTAATATTTTTAGTACTCCTACCCTTAGGCTACCCGGAATGCATAGTAGATATTTTGAAAGTGCATCACCTCCCGTTTGGTCTTGGTATCCATTTGTGTCAACTTCATTCCAAGTTTTATGGCTCCTTGTAAATTGTTCTATGCTCGCAAAATGTGAGAGATACCCCTTCCCCCTACCCCTTTACTCTCACGGGAATATCAACAGGAGATAACACGACCCTATTCGTATCGGCGCCAAGTCCTCTATTTACAATTTTACACTGCAATACGAATTTGAAGAGATTCTACTTTAACACTTTTTCAGGTTCAAATCAATTTTGCGGTCTTCCCCGACAGCAAGGTCGATTCAGGTAAAAACAAGGTTTTTCATATTTTGGCAGATGTTCTTATCACCGAGAGAAAAGTACACTCCTTGACACCAAGATCTCAGTCAAGATGTATAATTACACATTACAAATTAATAGGCAGAATTCTTATCTTAGTCCTATATAGCTCGGTCACAATAACCTAGAATCGTAATCGACTCTAATCGTAAAATATTAAACATCAAGAGTACATCCACTTGCCTTCAAATCTACATATAGAATTGATTTTTCTCTTCTTATTTTCCAACTCTTATATTATCCAAACACCTTTCTCTCGGTACAATATTGCTTTCAAAGCTTTTGAAAATTTTTTCGATGGTTTGCACGCAAATAGCAATAGTAATAATAATAATAACACTGATGGTCGTGGTATCGTTAATTGACAACGAGACAAAAAGTCATATCTTTTTTATGGAATTGTATTAAGGCGCGAAATTTACGCGTCACCGACGCTCTTGACAGGACACTTTGCGAATTCTATCATTTCGAATTTTATTTCGAAAATTTTTATCTCGACATTGACTGACTGCTATAGAGGACTCTGCATAATATGCTGATATTCCACATAGCGAGCAACCAAGCACGAGATGTGCACACGTGCAGGCGTTTATCGTTACGTTTTCCTCTTCTACAAGATCCTCTGTAACGTCAGCTCAAGTGCAGACAATAACAATGAACTATTGTTCCGTAGACGAACTTATTCGAACAAGGCTCGAATAGTCGAGACAAAGTCCAATCGACTGAAACGGAAGTGTTTTTGGTCCATCTTTATCGAGGGATCTCTGTCGTTTGTTTCCGCATGACGCACTCCGTGAAATGGAAAGGAAAGGACTCAATCTCCTGATTTTCTGTCTAATGAAGCTTCCGATATGTTGCGAATGTGTCACATGAATGTCTATGCAAACTTTCATCGCTGCTATTCCGATTTGACGATCGATTCTGACGAGTTATCGCTTCCAAATAACATCGCAGCATCTCCATACGATTTGTTGATGTGCGATATCGTAAAAATCTTTCGACGAAGAGACGAATTAAAATATATTCTCTGCATATCATTTAATAATTAATTCAAAAAAGGAAAAAATAAAATATTGTCGATTTTCAGCTTATCGTTTCAGCTTCATTATCACATTATTTATTATTTACAGTTTGATAAAAATCTCTCTTCAATTTTAGGGTGGGAATTTAAATTTATTGTATGTGTATAAGAAGTTTATATAAATGAAAATGTTTAAATAATTCATTTTAGCACGTTTTGTCCCCTTGTACACTTACCTCAATTAATATTTAAATAAATTGTCACTCACTCTTAAACACGATATCGTTACAGATCATAATAAATTTCTGCGCTGTTTTGTTTGGTATTGTTTGGTATTTAATCTTTTCAATATTTCTATTAAGCTTGTATGATCATTTCAGTTCCATTTACTTTCTTAATTAATCAATATCATGATAAAACATTTTTTTAATATATATACCGCATTCAAAATGTAAAATAAGTTGCGATAGCTTGACGTACGTTATATACATTTTATAGAGAGTGAATATAAATGATAAAATAATATGTAAATATAACATATTTGTCCGTACGATATAACAATCTGGCAACCGAAAATTAAAATCGACATTCGGGAATTCATTTTCCACTTTTATTATTTTTTTTTTTGTTTGTTTAAATGGAAGCTTGATAGGAAACCCGTTTATTACATTTCCATATAATAGAGTCCACACACAAATTTGCTTCATAAACGAAAGCAATGATCGAGTCGTACTATGTTTCTTTCACGCCTGATTTGTAGATGAACGGGATGTGCGTATTGCCGGTGACGGGAAGAAGTACAGTGGGTGTTGGTGGTGAGAGAGGTGACAATGGTGATAATAGTGATGGTTGTAGCGCCGGTGGCAGCGGCAGCAACGGCGCCTACAATAGTGACGGTGGTAGAGGCTCTAGTGCTGGTGTTAACATAACTCGCTCGGGCATTCGTAATGCCGCCGCCGGCGCCGGCATGATTAGCGGTACCGACGAGGAAATTAACGCGGGGTCTCGCAAGGGTGTCACGTTAGATCAACGTCACCCAGCGCGCACCCAGGGTATAAGGAGGCTCCAGAAGTGTCTGAGCACCACTACCAGCCACTTCGAGGTGGACTCCGCCACGGGCGCTGCCGCCGCTTTTCCGACAGTCTCGCTATTCTACGCTCAGCGTAGCACGGAGATGAGAAGCTACCCCTCAGCCGTCCCTCAAGCGTCTTTGAACTACCAGAATATCCTCACCAACACCAGACAGTATAGCAGCTTTGGTAGTATTATCGATACAGCCAACTAACTTTAATTATTTATGTTTCGACTACGTAGACCACCGATATATATATATATATTGTTCTTTCTGTGACACCGAACGGGAAAGCTACTCTTCTCTGATCGCTTGATCTTTAATTTAATTTCCTTGTGACTATACAGAGCGATTCTTCCCGTATCCCCGGATTTTTTTCAAGCTCGGGGAATACGGATCTCAGCGCAATGTTGCTACAATAAATTCGAAACAATTTAACCTTATTATTTAATTTTTTTTTTCTTTTATATGAACCACTCACTTTCTATCTATTTTTTCTACATTAATTTTTTGACGTTAATTAATGTTTTTTATATCATGTTCTATAGCTATTTCTCCGAGACTTGTATGCCTCCCTCTCGTTAGAACAAGCTCCAAGAGTAGTTGATTAAAAAGAATAATTGATTAAGAGGAAATGATTTTTCAAAAATAATTTTCACGAGTAATTTTTAAATAATTTTTATACTCGTCTTTTTTATGATTTGTAATATAAACATACAAAGCAACGTTGTTACTGAGATCGTTCCAGCACGACATACGTTTTTTTCTTGACTCAATAGATACTGTCTGGTCTTTACTGATCTGAGTGTGAAAGTGACTTCGGTAGTTCTTACTACGATGCATTATATCTTTCTTTCTGACTTGTACATGCTCTTTAGTGGATCTTTTCTAAATAAACACGAAATAGCACACCGTCTAGACTGCGTGATCTCTAGTTGTCACACTGCACCCTCGAAAGGAGAATACTCTTTCCTGCTCTTTTCGTTTTCGCCTATGTGGCAAATTGTTTTGATTTCTGCTTCTTTTATAGATGTGGTCTATAACGTTGCATCTCTATCAAATAATTACTTCCCAGCTCGATGCACAATCTAAGACGCACTTTATGTGAATATACCAATGACAATGGGACGGACTGTGCACGTGGTGAATGTGCAAACATATCGGAGGAACCGAATATCACTAGTTAACATCTTCTTGTCTCGAGCAACACATGTCTTTATCATAAAGCTTATCGTTCTGTTCGTGTTTGTAAAACGATCCTTTCGCATATCAACGTTATCTTCTATCGTGTTATTACACGAAAACTGGGACGGTTCTTCTAAAACCGTCTCTCTGATACCACTAATACCGCGCTATGTGCTAATTTTATGATTTTTTTCCCAAGACTGTTATATGTAAAATCTCAGATTTAAAATCTCGTTTTCCATCCGAAAAATAATCTCGTTTTATTAATATCGCGTGTTTCAAATATTTCATTTGAAATGAATATCACTTGATTTAAACTTATGGGATGCATAAAGATTCATTACATGTATGCGAGACATTACACACACACACACACACACACACACACACACACACACACACACACATATATATATATATATATATATATATATAAAATTCAAGAATAAGATTTTACGTATTGTATGATGTTTAGTAATGTCTCGTACTAAATATTCAAACGTATTGTTTAATATTCAATTATTATGTTACGTTTACGATTTAAACTACATAAAGCTTGTCTTCCAAAAATCGCACTAGGCTCACAAGATGTATCGATTTTATTCAGATTCATTCGATTTTAAACATTACAGAGAACTTTATCGATTTTACGTCGTCGACACTCTCGTCACTACACAACCTGATGATCGTCCGGATATTTTACGTCTGCATGCAAAAGTAATTCTTCTTCGTGTCACTCGTCTACCTAGCTTACTTATTCAAGACTGACTAAGTCTGCAAACGATATTCTCTAATTCTAATGCTAATTGAACGTGATACTATGCGCGCGTGTGTACGTAGGTGTGAATGTGCGTGCGTCTTTATGCGTATGCATCTGTGTAAGTTTATGACTGACTTGATATCCGTAAGACCTGAGATGAGTTTAAAGTGTATGAGGGATAATTAATATGTGAACCGAGAGAATCGAAAGATCTTAATCGTGATAGTTGTTGTTGTTGTTGTCGCTGTTATTATTATTATTATCGTCATCGTCATCATCGTTGCCATAATCAGCATTCTCATTGTCACGATCATTACTATTACTGTCCTCTTGAAGCTGCGCTGTCTCTGATAAGTGTTCCGACTACGCTAGTTACACCTTGCGATATACACTACGTAAAAGACGATACGTAAACGTGTCGAAAAATAATTTCGATAGTCATGATTGTGCATGCTTCTTAGTAGAGACCGGAAAGAAACGGCGCGCCTTATTCCATAAATAATCGATAATTTTCTTTTCGGACTGCTGGTCGAATAGACAAATTCGACGGTTCCTTCCAACGATCAAGGAGCTCGAGTATGTCATCCCTCGAAAATATCACTACAGAAACCATAAGCTGCCTTACATTTGCGGATTCTTATACGAAAAAAAACGGTACGTAGACAAGCGTAAACTTTGACTTTTAAAAGTCGTTAATCATTTCTGTTTTTCACGCGTATCTGCATTACACATCACGATTCTCTTTATTAACACTAGTCTGCCGATTCACATTATTAACGACATTTTCGTTCTCGTTTAAAACATCATACGATAAAAAAAAAATAATTTACAAATTTTTAAAAGTCAAGACTATATAAGTACGAAACAATTGATTATATTAAAATTTTTATATGAAACAGTAGTTGTACAGTAAATTATTTATAATAATTTAATCACTTCTTGAAGATACAAACGGTATGCCGACGTTATGGATTGGTACGTCTCTGGGATCTGTACAGACTGTAGTATTCAATACGCCTGCTCACAGCGAACGTCATGCTCATCCAGTGGTTGTGTCTACTTGTAGTAAGTAAAATATTTTTTATATTTAATCTTTGTAATATTTATAAATTCAAAAAAATTACTACAAGTCATACAATCGTAATTTCCTATTATTCTAAGCATTTGTAGCATATAACAAGATAACAACGTTGTAGAATATAACAAAATTTAATATGCGTTTTATATGTGCAGATGGATCTACTTTCAAACTCAAGGGTTGTATCCTATCCATGTCGTTCTTAGATTGTAACGGCGCTCTGATCCCATATTTATTCGAGTCCTGGAAAGATGAGAATACGGATGGCAAAGAACGCAACAGTAGGCTTTACTCGCTACACTATCACACTATATCCGCATAGAGATCGATCTAGCTATATATATATATATATATATATATATATATATATATATATATATATATATATATATATATTTCATTATTTTTGCGTTTGTTTCGAGGATCCTTTTTATACCGCATATTTGTATAGTATATCGTATTAACGAGATATGGATTTTTGTTAAAGAGAATCAAGGAAAATGTACAAACAGCCGAATGTCACCGTCGACGAACACGCAAGTCAGCGGGGACAGCTTCGAAGACAGACAATTTGTCGTGCTTGCGTCAGAGAAGCAAGCGAGAGTTGTGGCATTACCCTCCCAGAACTGTGTATATAGGCAACAACTGGCGGAGACTCATATCGTAATTAAGGCAGAAATTACATCACTCAAAGGTATAGTCCACATTCTTTTCACAAAATAACAGTCAATTTGTTATCAACCACGCAATTGTTTTAAAGCCTTTTATTTGCCACATAATTGTTGTAAAGAAAGGCACCTTTTTATACAAAACATTTCTGTCTAGATAACGTCTGCCTGGTATGTTACGTTTCAAACGGTCACATCACAACGTATAGTTTGCCCAGCCTGAGACCACTGATAGATGTCGATTTTCTACCTCTCACAGATTTGAGGTAAGAAAAATAACTCTAATTCTATCTAACTCTTTTATTCTAGCCATCAACGCAATATGATAGTGGCAATATTTGCACATGACGCGTTGCACTATATGCTATTGTAAGATCGCAAAGGTTTTTATATTTTTTTCATTCTCGATATATAATATACAATACATATACATATTTTAAGACATGGAAAACGCATATAATTCAGAATTTGGCATACAAACATTACATGTAGATTGAAATAATATTATGTCTATTAATTATGCAATCGTAAATTAGCAATGCCATGCTAGTTAAACATTTGTAATAACTAATATACTGCTTCAAGTATATGAGGTTAGTAAAATTAATCTGTCAAGGAATATTAAGCTTGCAGAGAAATTATTTCTACTATTAATCTTACATTAAGAATAATGTATTAAAAGATATATAATTTTTATTTACGTAAATATTGTTGCCAATGAAGCTATTTATAGTTCTAATGCTTTACAGAAAAATTATTATTGATCGAGGTTCGAAGGATGATATTAAATTACAATTTTTAAATATGATATTTTACACATAATTATTGCTTCTTATTAGAAAACGAAAATAGGAGCTACCTTTTAAAAGGTAAAAGGAAGTTCAAAAATGTTTTTAAAATTAAATGACGAACGCGAATTTTGTGTCATTTACAAACAAAGGTTTATCCGCTGCATTACTTTTAAATCGATATTTTTAAAGTTTTCGCGTAGGAAAATTTATCTTGTCCGTATAGCTGAACGTATAGCTATTACAAGTTTACTTTTTGATATTTCGTTACTACTTTGACGCATGAAACTGGTTATTGGAATTTCGCTTTTTCTCGTCATTTAAATTTTATATGTATTTATTCGCAGTAGAACGATAATACTAAATGCAAATTTAAAATCCATCAACTAGCATCATCGAGTAGATCTAG